CTCCCAGCCTTGCTGCACCTGAGCTACCGGGCCCCCCTCGCTCCCTTGATCTCTTGCGCGCCCCCTCTTTTTTTGCCTTTCGTCACAGCCCCCACCCCCACAACCAGAACCTTTCAGAACTCTCCTGGTTCTGGATGATTCGCTACAGCCTCCCCGCCTCCCCCAACACAACTTTCTCTTGAGTTCCCTTCGCCATCCAAACAGCATCCTTTGAAAAGGATATTTTCTCTTCCGCCTCCCACCCCGGTCAATTGGCCTCCTCCAACGCTCCCCTGTTCTTGTATCTTGGGCTCGAGCAGGATCCCCTTTTGCACTCCCCCTCCTCCAGCAAGCACCCTCTCCTGATCCTCAGGCGATCCCCCTTTCTTGCCACACCTTCTCCCCAACAGGGATCTCTCAGGTGTGGACACAGTGCTCAGACCTACACACACATACATGCACCTGCTGGCCTTAGGTCAAGGCAGCTGGACAGAACCCATCACAAAACTGAACCCCAATGCACAGACCCCTCAAATTTCTCATAGTCAAAGCCTAATCTCTCTGGCTTCCCTTCCCCTCAACAACCCCCTTCTTTTGCTTTCCAGTACCCCTCCCTACCAAACGCTTGGCCCTGGATTTGGCCCCCCACCTCGCAGCCTCCTGGATCTGGCTGTGGCACCCTCTCTCCTTTTGTACACCCCCATCCACCCACCCCACACATACCTTTTTCCCTGGAGGGAGCAGCTCTCTTTGTGCCCAATATTCTGGGCTTGGGGAGAACCCACATCCAGTGTTCCCTGTTCTTGCGTATGGATTGCATCTGAATTTCACTACAGGAGGGGGGGACTTTTTTGTTCTGTTTCAAATATTCATAACCATAGTCCGTGTCCTCCAACTCTGACCAGAGGCATCTTGTCAGACCCTCATCTCCACCTCAAAGACAAGGGGAAATAATTATGTGATTGCACCCCATTTAGTCAGGCGTCCTCATGGCACTTTATGCGCGATGAAATTTCTTTCATTTTAAAGGCCTCTCTGTTGGTTGTCCTGTCAGAAAATCCGTGTGTTGCTGCTTTTCTGTGTAGCCAAAAATGTTTAGCGTGCAGGGGTTTTGGAGTTACACAGTATTCTTTTCGAAGTTGTCCTATGTCAGGCTGTGCAACCTTTTCAACAAGAAACACACACACATACAAAAAAAAACAAGACAAGAAAAGACATTGTGGCACCTTAAAGATGAACTGCTCTATTTTAAGGAACATGAGGTCCATTTGCACTCATGCAAGTTTCTTCGTGAAACTTATTTTAATGAAAGCTCTTGTGGAACATGGTCGGCTTCCTAAGACCTCAGAGTCAGAAAACAGGCCGGCCGCTGCTCTTAAGACCAAAGCCAGCAGCGGAGGTTAGCTAGCGAGAGCCGGTGGTTAGCTGGTTAGTATGACCAGTGCTCTGTGTTGCGGAGAGAGGGGACTGAGCCGGCAGGTCTTTCTGTGTTTGTGACACTGGATTTCAAAGAAATTCCACACTGAAGTCCTAAAGATGGGTCACCAAACAAAGAAAGCCAGTTTGTATAATCCTGAAGATGAGAGGAGCTGATACAGTGATTCTTGGCCTTTTTTGTTGTTGTTGTTGTTGTTGTTGTTGTTGTTGTTCCGATCTCTCTCTCTCTCTCTTTTCATGTCTGCTTCGGTTTGCAGAAACCCCATCTAAAAATGCCCAGCCACCTCGCTGATTGAGCCTGCTGCTCAGTAAAGCAACCCAGGGTTACCTTGGTGAGGTGCTAAGCTTGTGGGGTGGGGTGAGGTGGGGCAGGTGGCTTCAGCAGGACCATTTCAGACTCATTGTGGGCTGGCCTTGTAGGTGACTCTCATCCCCCGCCTTGTGTGTGTGGCATAGTCAGTCCGCTCTGAAAGGCAGGGACCTTGTCTGGTCCACATGACGGGGAGCACCTGTCTGTCTGGGTGACCAGGGGAGAGACTTCAGCCCCACGGCTCTTTGGTTCTGGACCTCAACCATCACAGAGTGACCAAGGGAAGAAGTCAGGTGCATCGCTAGCCGGCCTTTAGTTCTGTCTGCTTTTCTTTCTCGGGACCCACTTGAGACTTGCTTTCCTCTTTTTTCTCTCTCTCTCTCTCTCTCTTTGGGTCAGTGGCCTCTCCCCCTCCTTCCCTTCCTCCAGTCTGCCCCAAGCAGCTGGTTTGAGGTCAGCTGTTCCTCTGAGCCACGCCAGAGCCAAGAGAGCTGAAATCTTGATCCTTAAATTCTTGCCCGGCCAAGGGGCTTCTTGGACATAGCTCCATGCGCCGGGTGCGAGAGATGGACTAGGTGACTTGTCATCCCCTGGCTGTAGTGAGGAGAGCCACGAGAAGCCCTTCCTTCACAGGCAGAATGAGGCTGTTTCCAGGGCTGCCTCTTGTGCATTTCCAGGAATCCCAAATACTTTTTTAAAAAAATCCCAAGTTTCTTTAAGGGGCTTGGCTGCATTTTAGCAGTTTTGTGTGGTTGCTCAGTGGCATTTCCCGTGACACAACACAGGTGTTGCCAGATTTTGGGAACCACTTGGGTGCCTTACTACCTCCAACCCAACTAACCAGCAATGACTATGTGGTAAATGAGGGGAAAGCACTCTGCACATGCTCAAGGAATGCCATTTTAGGGTGAATTCCCATGATCCAGGGTCGCCTTTTGTTATCGTCAGTCTCCCATGATCCCCTTCTATCCCCACTGAGTGTTTGTGGCATCGGGTACTCAGTGCTGCATGGAATGAGAAAAGCCTTTTGCACGTGCTCAGATAACACATTACAAGGCCCAAGGAGCCTGATAATGAAACTGGGTTAAGGACTTGGAAATGTTATTTTTGGCTGTAAGTCCCAGAATCCTTAGCCAGTCAGCCAGTAGCATTGCGGACGGTGCCAAGCATTACCTATTGATGAGCATCAGGAGGCCGTCTGCCCATGCTCAGAGCCACACGGCTCCACTTTGCTCGCCAAGAAGCCTAGCCCTGGCTTTGTATCCTTCAGTTCCCCAGGCTGTAGAGAAGGTGGGGCATGGTCCACCTCTATGGGCCAGTTGTGCTTCGAAAGGGTCATCCATCACGAGAGAGGACAGTAATCCCCTGTAAACCCAGCCTGTCACTGCAGAGGCTCGTTTGCACATGATTGTCCTTTGTTTGGAGGCTAAATGAGCTGTTTATGCAGGGTCCGTTCATGCCAGGGAAACTGGCACAAGCTTCTGGCTGGTCAGGCGCGCGCCCATTGTTTCCTTTGTTTTTTAAGCAGGGCTGGAAAAACTTGCCTGGGCCCTGGGCGGGGGAGGGGAAGGACAATTTAAGGAGCTTCTCTTTTGGCTGAATTTTCTTCCTTCCGACCTCTAGGTAGGAAAAAACGGTCACGAAACTGACTAGGAAAAGAAGGGTAGAATCCATTTCCCTCATGAAATGGTCAATTTCCAAGTGGCCCTTACCCTACTTAGTCTTATGTGCAGGGCTTAGTTTGCTCCCTTAAACAGAAACCCCGTGCTCTCCTTCGTTGAAGCTCACAGTTAGAACAGGCTTGTGGATCGCCCAGTGAGTCCCTTGCCAGAGTCGAGATCTGAACTCGGGTCTCATGACTTCTACTCCGAGACTCTCAAGGGCTACACTACCCCGTACAGACAGCCACTGTCGGCTCTGTCCGCTCCATCCCGATGCGGGTCGGGAGAGGGTCTGCTACAAACGCTGTGGCCCAGCTGCCCCTGTCAGAGGGGTTCTGGTTGACAGGGCTCTTAAAAATAGATGCGGGAAGCCAGATCCGTTATGCAATGACTCCAAAACGGGTGAGGTGGGCAGGCCGGACGGCCTCCAAAGAGCCAAAAGAGGAAGAAACTCGAGTTACCTCCCCCTGACCTTGAAGGCGACACAGCTCACAAGCCAACACTGGAGATGTGGGGGGGGGGGGCAGTAATTGGGATGCCTACAATAATATTTGCATTCACTGGAGATCATGTTTTTTAAAAATCAAGCTTGCATTCAGGCTGTAATTTGCATGCCCGTTAGGTGAGGTTCTGGCTTTGGTCGCTTGGCTCTCAGTTTCTGAAAAAGTTTGTGTGAAGGCCCAGGACGGCTCAGAGGGCTGAGATGGAAAGTCGTCATCCAAGGAAGTGAAGGCGCAGAAGAGAATTCTTCATTCCTCTGTGGGTTTTTGTCCAGTCCAGGCAGGGTAGATGAGTTTCCTCCTCCCAGAATAACAGTCCGTCCTGAGAAGCAGGTCAGTTTGAGAGGAGCAGAAGAGAATGGTGACTCAGTCAGGTTAATCTTTTAAGACGCAGAGAAGAGACAACCCTCCCTTTCTGTTAAAAGCAAGGGTGGGCCACTGGCATCCTTCCTGGTGTTTTTGTATGGCAGCTCACGGGAGCCCCAGGTGGGGCACAGCCAGTCTCGGGGGCCCCAAAACATCTGGAAGGCCAGCCACTGTCCTCCTAGGAGTGATAATAGGGGAGTAGGTGATCCATGTGGCTCAGGGAGCAGCCCTCGAGCGCCTGCTTCTTTGGAGACGGATGGGCTTCTCATGGACCTCCCCACCCTTCGCCCTCTTACAGGGCAGCTCCTGCTGAGGCCGTGACGTTCAGCGTCAAGCATTCGGATGACGTCGAGGTCGAAGTGGTGACTTGTGACCAAACGGAGCTGGCGCCTGCCAACGGCGGGAAGCGATGGCCGCTGGACCCCAAGACGATCCTCCGGATCCAGATGACCCGACCCAGCACCGAGGCCAATGACAACAAAGTAAGGGAGACCCTCAGCCTGCTTTCTTCCCGACTAGGCCGGGAAGGGACCGTTTTCTTCCCAGCAGAGAAAGAGGCGGAAGTTGAGACTGTCCCCTTTTTTTTATGTCTTTCCCTCCCCAGGTGATGGTTGCCTATTATGGGGAGAGCGAAAGCCATCCCATTGACCAAGCTGGCGTGTTCTTGACTGGCGTCGGTAAGCGAGAGGCTCCTCTTTCTCCCCAGGCTTGACCAGAAGCGGAGGGCTCTCCTGTCTTGGTTTTATGTGGCAAATTATTCTAGCTTCTCCGGGCAAGATCTCTTGAGTGTGTTTGCCTTTTGAGGGTAACAAGAGATGCTCCTTCTCTGTCTCGGGCATCTGGGTGTGAGACGGAGAAATCCTCTTTGCCTCTCCCATCTGCGGGCCCCCCAGAGAGCCAACCAGCAACACCAAGGGGGCTTTATCTAGGGGGTAGTTTTGCTCCTTCCATTTCTATAAATGGGATGGTTGGGGGGGGGTTGCGTTGTCTACAGGTCCTGCTCCTTTGGCCCCAGCTGTGTGCCTTGTGACTTTGCTCTGTCTGTGTGCCCTGCCAAAGTAGCCACAGCTGTGTGTGTGCGTCGCTGCACCCGTCACCCAGGCAGCTTCCCAGCAGTGTTGAGCTTGTCTCACAAGATAACAGCCCCCCCACCCCCCAACAATGCTCCTGGAAAACTGGATAGTTGTGTCTTGCTAGGAGGGGGAAGGGAAGGGCTTACCAGCCTCCTAAATCTGTGTCTCACAGGCCTCTTGATAAAAATGTGCTTTTTCTTACCTGCTTTCTCTCGTGGTCTTCAGCGGCTCCTTGACTGAGACAGTGCTGGGGGGTGGGCTCCCTCTGAGCTTTTCTGGACACCGCTTATCTGCAGTCAGGTGGATGCAGAATTAATTGGACAGGAGTCCAAATCATGGCACTCCTTCACACCGTGTTAGATTGTTACCTATAGATCCTTGTATAACCTCTCCTTTCGTGGGCCCTGTAACTGGCGGTCACAAACCCCTTGAACAGTATAGGCTTTTGTGCTCTGCGGACGCCTCCAGCCCAATGGCAGGGACGGGCTTACTGACTCTGTTTATGTTTTCAGCCATTTCACTGGATGTCGACGCCGACCGTGATGGGGTGGTGGAGAAGAACAACCCTAACAAGGTAACTTTTTTTATGGGGGGGGGAAGTGGACGCCATTCTCTTAAACTGCAGCAAGGTGTTATGAAGCAGCCTGCCATGTTTGAATCCCATTTCATTAACTTTCTCCTCCTTCGTCCTTTTGAAATGGCCTTTGTTTCCTTGAACAGCTGAGGACAATTCAGACTTTTCACAACAAGAAGCCAACCCAGTAACATGTCTGGACACGTGTGCAAGAGACTGCTCCCCCATTGGCCTCCACTTAAATCCAACACATGGTGTGTGGAGCATCAGGCCAATACATTTTGGGCCCTGAATGCAGGGGGCGATGGTTTCCCCTGAATCTCTGTCCCTAAGGAAGGGACACAGCTTTCTTCCAAACCAGCTGGAAGGTGGGAAGTCAGGCCAGGGCGCCTGGATTTAGTGCCTTGAAACCGGCAAGGCATTGAAACGAAGAGCCGTCCCTTCCTCAGAAGCACGCCGGGGACGCTCTGTCCATTGGCCTCCCCTGACCTGCTCCACGGAGTTCCTCCCAGCCCCCTTGCTGAGCCCTTGGCTCCAGTCCCCCCACCAGCAGGAAACCTTTTCTAACGTGGCCCCACCTGACCCATGTAGGACTTTTCACTCCTGCCCTACGGAGTGAAAAGGAGGAGGCTTTCCCTCGAATCTGGCTTCAGGGGACGACACACAGGGTTTGGTCTTGGTGAATCTCTCTGCCTTAGGGAAACCTTTTCTGGGTGGATCTAACCCATTCGATGGACCGATTCAAACACTGAGATGGGGTTTTCCAGAAAGCCACATGGTGGAGGAAGCAATGCCGTTTTTAAACTACTATTTGTGAAATTGTTTACAAAAAGGCAGTGGGTCGAGAAAGAGGCCTCTCTGCTTGCTTCTCCCGGAACAGGGAAGCCCTCTTCAAACTTGTGGGGAAAAGCTGCCCGTCTCAATCCAAGGGTCCCAAATGAATTGTCTGGGCTTATGGGCCAACCAAGGCAGGCTGAAGCCACTCATTTTGAACCCCTTAGTCCAACAAAGTTCCTTTCATGGCCCAAGTTTCAGTGAGACAGAAATGGCAAGACCGGATGGATGGCATGAGGCTCTCCAGGCGTTACCCTCCCTGTTTTCCATGCTGGTCAAGGCTGATGGGGATTGTAGTCATCTGGACATCTGGAGAGACCCTGGGTGCCCCCGTCCCCCCTTGATTGAAAATCTCAGTGTGTGTACTGATCCCTCAGTGCTCAGTGCAGGCGGTTGCCATTCCAGGCGACGTGGACCTGGGGTCCAGAGGGCCACGGCGCCATCCTGCTGGTGAACTGCGACAGGGAGAACCCCTTCATCGGCATGGAAGACTGCCAGGACGACAAAGTGTTCAGCAAGGAAGGTAAGGGTGAGGCCCGTCTCACGAGCAGAGTTGGGAGAGCTTCCCAGTTTGGGTCTGGAGTTCCCACCAACGTGGCAGGGGTGGCCCTGCATCTCTGGAAGGGGGAAAGGTGGGGTGGAGGGAGGGAGGGAGGACGAGGCAGGAGGCTCTTGAGTCCCAAGTCCCCTGACGGGCCTCTCACCTTCTCTTCTCCTCTGCTTTGTAACCCCACAGACCTGGAGGACATGTCCCGCATGATCTTGAGAACCCAGGGCCCTGAACGACTGCCTCGTGGGTACGAAATGGTTCTCTACATTCCTTTGTCCGACTCTGACAAAGTAGGGGTCTTTTACTTGCAGAGTAAGTGCCCTTTATTCACTTCCCCCCTCCCTCCCTCCCTCCCCCTTGCGCACTGCCATATTCCTGGGTGCTGAGAAGCTTCCATCGCCCTCTTTGGCTGCTTTCGGCTTTCTTTTCTCTTCTGCTTCTTCAATGTTGGTTGCAAAGCCATCCCGTAGCAAGATCCAGACTCACTGGCTCAGTCAGTGGCTCCTAGACTTGGGTCCTCAAGAGGTGCTTTGGACTGCAGCTCCAAGAAATCCAGGCCAGCACCATTGATAGTCCTCTTCCTCGTGGTTTGTTCTCTCTGCTGCAAATGTGAAACTGGGTGACATCCAAAGCTTGGAAAAAAGGGGCCTTGTTGGATTGCAATGGCCAGAACCTCCCAGCCAGATTTTGGCACTTTAGAATATTTAGAAAACTCCTTTAAAAATGTTTTTCTAAGATTTGTGAGCTGCACGTTCATCAACAAATGGAAAACGACATGCCTCCAAGCCATTGAACGCTTTCACAGAAACATGCAACCATCCGTAGCAGCAGTGAGACGTGGAACGGACTTATGAATCATATAAAAAACACACACACAAAACAGCAACAAACCAATATAGTAATAATTTTAAAAACATGTCTAGGCTTCAGAGAGAATGAGCAAGAGTCATTAACCATAAGGAGGAAAGAGCCAGCGTGTGCCAAGGGCCCCTTGTGACAGATCTTGCCTCCCTCGCCTGCGACAGGTGGACCCTCCCCATCTGAGCGGATCCACGTGCCCATGTTTCCGTGGCCCCACAGGTGCCCTTGTCTCATTAGTTTCAGTGCCCGTAGCTCATTTGTACCTATGATGACCAACGAGGGAATGCCTGGCGTTAAGGCCTGATGAGTCGTCAACATGTCTAATTAGAACGGGCCCTGGAGTTGGCAACATTCTGGCAGCTTAATTGGCACCCGGAGGGAGGGGGCCAGGGAGGAATCCCCCGAGAAAGAGCCGTGCAATTAGAGCTGGCA